ATATATATATATATATACATTTAAAGTATATAGTTTCTTTATGCATAATTTTTTTAAGTGCACACACACATAATTGTTTAAAAAATACCTTAGCTACAATATGAAGTGATAAAATTATTTCTCACAGAATTCCGTTTGTCTTGGTCTTCTTTCATCACTCATCACATCACACAACACCTTTATTTATTCACAGACTGGAGAGTAATATGCATTAAAATGTGAGATTATGGTGATAATTCTGATTTCATCTTGCTCTACAAACTGCTTTAGTTTAGTGCTCTCATTAATATTGATTTGAAAATGTCACGTTTATTCACGAATTGATTTCTTACAAAGTTATAGACAAACTGTAATTTTTTATAATTAATTTCTATTTTTAATATTAAATATTATTAATATGTTTAATTTTTAAAATATTTTTCATTTATTCTTATTTATTTGTATATTTAATTTATACAGAATTTGTTACTGTATGATAAAGATATGTGCAAATAAGTTTTGCATTTATTTTAAATATTAATAATAATATATTTTCTTATTTATTTTTTTTATTTTAATTTTAATTATTGATATACTTCAATTCTACAGAAATTGTTACTATATGACAAATGTGCAAATAACATTTGAGAGCTACAAAGTGTTTCTGGAGTTAACAAACTATAATTTTTTAATAATTTGTAATTTATTTATTATATTAATTGATAATCTTTTTTTTTTTTTTTTATTAGATGTAATTTAATTTTTCACAGAGGAAAGAAAGTGATGACAGAATTTTCATATTTAGATGATCAGTTCAGCTGATCTCAGATTGTATTTGATGGTAATTTCCCAGTTAAAATCCAGAGCTGGGAAGCTGCTTTTGTGTGTGTGTGTGGGTGTGTGTGTGTGAGTGTGTGTGTGGGTGTGTGTGTGTGAGGTGTGTGTGTGTGTGTGGTTGTGTGTGTGTGGTGTGTGTGTGTGGTGTGTGTGTGTGTGTGTGTGTGTGTGTGACTGGCATGCCAGAGGACAGCAGAGGAATGTGATGCTTTTGTATGTCTGGGGGAAGAGAGGCTCGGGCTGGAATGCCATTGATGAGAACGGACAGAAAAAAATGAGCCTCCAGGAAGTTTTCTCTCGCTCTCTGTGAGAACCTCATGCCGTCATTCTGAGCCGCTCTCAGGCGCTCCGGTCTCAAGAAGCACAACCACTGCATTGTGTATCCCGTAAACACACCGTCCTCAAACTACAGCCGACCTCCCTCTCCGGACGAGTGAATGAAACACATATCTGCTTACAGCAACAGAGCTGCATTTACATCCCACTCTGAGAAAAATCATTGTGTCAGTGCTGATGTCAGTCAAAACAACCATTTATAGTCTGCATCGTTTACTGTTGATTCAGAAAGCACTTTCACTAACCTGTGAAACACTAACAAAATCATTTAGACAATTGTCTAATTTGAGATTTAGCTACACCCTGAAAGGAATAGATCAAACAAAAATAAATATTTTCTGAAATGTGCTCACACTCATGCCATCTACAAGATGTAGATGAGATTGTTTCTTCATCAGATTTGTAGAAATGTAGCATTGCATCACTTG